TAGTGCAGGCCTAAGAAATTAAGGTGCCTCTAACCTAATAGGCTAGAATATTATAAATGTTGTACTTAAGAAATTGTAAACAACCAACTAAAGAAAAAGTTTTAGCCTTGCAGCCATCCAAAGAGCACAAGATTCTTTGCATAAGAGGTTGGAAATCGCATTTTTTTAGTCTCCTGCATAAGATAGGGATGCCAAGATACTTGATAGGGGAATTAGAAATTGGGATATTTAGTGTATTAGAAATGGCTTGCTCATTCAGCACATTATTAGAGAAAAGAATCGTGTTCTTATTGCTATTAACTTGCAATCCCGAAATGCTAGCAAAGACAACTAAAATCTTTTTAAGAGTTTGAGCATTCTCCAAAGAGGCCCTGCCAAACACTAATAAGTCATCAGCATAGAGGAGGTGGGAAATAGAAACATTACCAACAGCAATACACTGGAAAGAGTTATTGAGTGTGGCATCCTCAAAGCAAGAAGAAAGGTTGTCCATGACAATGTAGAAGAGGTATGGTGAAAGAGGATACCCTTGCCTAAGGCTGGAAGATGAATTGAAATAACCTTCAAGCGCTCCATTAATAGAGATAGGGAAGTGCACATTAGTAATACAGCCTTTGATCCACAAAATAAAGGCATCAGGAAAACCTTTGGCAAACAAACGATTAAGCAAAAATTCCCTTAAAACCGTATCGAATGTCTTATGGATGTCAAAATTTGCACAAAAAATTTTGTGTTTAGCATTTAAATTAAAATCCTTAAGCATATCGGCCGCTAAAAGGATATTATCCGATATGATTATGTCTTTGATGAAGCCAGATTGGCTAGGATGTATAATGGATAGCATAACCTCTTTCATCCTATTGGCAAGAATCTTGGCAATGATATTGTAGAAGGTGTTACAGAGGGATATTGGTCTGTAGTCAAAAATGTCATTAACATGAGGCCATTTAGGAATAAGTGCAATGGCAGTGGCCTTCGTATGCTTAGGCATTAAATCAATAGAGAAAAAAGAGAGGGCAACCTCACAAAGTTGTTTGCCTATAGTGTTCCAAGTAGATTTGTAAAATTCAAAGGTGTATCCATCCGGTCCCAGTACATATGAGTTTGGGGAGGAGAAGACGACGTTCTTAATTTCATCCATAGTACTAGGGGTAATCAGTTGAGGGACAAGGTTGGTGGGGCGCTTGAGCTGAATAGGAGTAGCCCTGTCATTGATGTTGGGAGGAAGGGTTGTATTAAAGAGCTTTTGGAAATGATGGATAATGAAATTGTTGATGTCAGTCGGGTTGGTGAATACCCCTTCCATGGTGGTGATGTCTTTAATCAAATTAAAATTGTGTCTAGCATTAATCCGAGAGTAGAGGAATTTAAGATCATCCTCCCCACAAAACATCCATTTGGTTTTGCTCTTTGTAGAATCCAGTCAGACCAATCAGAGTTTCTCTCAGCAAGCTTATGGTTGGTGACTTTCAAAGCAAAATTCAGACCAGGATCTAAAGGAGAATCCTGGATTTGTCTTAGGAAAAAGTTTTGGTTACTAGCAAGCTTAGTAATTTTCTTCTGGATTTGTCTAGCATTATTGAAGTATGGAAGTTTGTTATTGGGACGCAAAGTACCATCGGCCTTTTCATGGGGGAATCTGCATCAGTTGAAATCCCCTAAAATAATCCATAGCATGGAAATGCTAAAAGCAAGTCAGAAAGTTTGTTCCAAAGTATTTTCCTTTCATCCATAGAATTAGATGCATAAACCACAGAGACACAATAAGTCTCACCATGCCCTACAAAAATCGTGCCATGAATCAATTGGCTCGAAGTAAAAAGGGGCTTGAAACTCACCTTCAGTGAGTTCCATTTAATCCAAATCCTGCTTGGGGAAGAGTATGCAAAATTTTCGTAAGAGCCTTCTTGTGGAAAAGTAGAATGAGTAGAGAGGAACCAACAGTTGTTGATAGAGGGGGAAGAAATTTTAGTTTCCAAAATGAAGAGTAGTTCAAGGTTATAAGTGTTTACCAACTTTTTGCAACACAAAGCTTTATCTAGGCTGTTGAACCCATGGGTATTCCACGCCGCCATAAGAGCGGGGCTGGTCATTGGGACTTGGAAGATGGGGTGGTGGCCTTCTTAGTCGATTTTGCTCTTGTAGATTTGGTAGAAGTAGTGTTTGTCTGTGGTTGCATGGTAGTTGGTTTTTCATTGCCCTCGAGAGTGCAGCTTAGAACAGCTTTAGTTGTGTCAGGTGGTTTTCCCAAATAGTTTAAGACAAGGAAGTAGAAATTAAAGGATTTATAGTCTGGCTGGTACTTGGGTCGGTTTAGTCTAAGAGGTCGGCAAATTTATTGGTGGTGGAAACATGAGGGGATTTCTAAGGAGCTGCTCCTGGTTAGGAAAACGTCGTTGGGTTGGAGTTGGGTGATAAGGAGGGGTTGACTTCGGAAGGGGAGTTAAGGTTGGGCAAAACAGTTTGGGCAGCTGGGAGAGCGGTGGCAACTAGTGAGGGGTGGAAATAGGGGGTAGTAGAGACTGGGTGATGGGAGGTAGAGGTGGTTTAGGAATGGTGAGCCTAGCGGGAACCTTGCGCGGCTTGCGGCTGGTACTCCGACCACGGGTTTGGGATGGTTTAGCTTGCTGTGGGTTGAGGTTTTTGGGACAGGTGTTGGGGGCATGCATGATAGAGTTACAGAACGAACAATGTGCAGGTTTCCAGTCGTAAAGCACAGTGAGAGGAAAAATTTTCCATCCACGGTGTAATAAATCTCTTTCGATAGGGGGGAAGAGCTGCTCACCTAAACACATATATACCCTAGCGAATGTAAGTCTAGTTTTTGTAGCTGTTAGGGCATCCATAACCAGCGGAATCCTCACGCAGCTCGCAATTTTGGAAATCCCCTCCGGAGTCCAGCAGGAGAGCGGGAAGTTCTTGATCTTCACTTCTACACGGCAAATCTAGTAAATCATACAAGGAAAGGCAGCAGGTACATTTTTTTTGGGGTGGGGGAAAAGCAGGTACAATTTTTTTTTTTTTTTTTTTGGGACATTTAAATAAATATCTTTAAGAATTTAATTAACTATTAAACCAACAAACTGAAAAAATTTAGTAACAGGCAAAGTCGCCTAATGAAGAGGCGACTTCCTTAAGCTATAAAAAGTAAAAAAAAAAAAGATTTCAGGAGAGAGAAAGGAAGAGAGATAAATAAACTAAAAATAGAGAAATAAAAAAATCCAACACAATCCTTTCATTTTATACAGTTTGTTGGAGAGGAACTGCATCAGAAATTTTTATTTTATTATTAAAATATTAAATGCAAATATTGTTTTTTATTTTTTTAATAAATAATCTAGAATGATATATTTTTATGAGTTATTATGTGTCAAAAAATTTCACAATTTAATTTATCATAATCAATTTAAAAATACAACTTTATAAAAAAAAATTATTCATAATACATTATTATTATTTTAAATTTATCTTGTTTTAAGGAAAATAATAATTTATATAAACATTTATCTTATTTTTTATTAAAAAATTAAAATGAATTTCATAATTAATACTAATAAATACTAAATGTTGACATCAACTCTAATTTTCTTTGTCAATACTGATATTAAATTGGACTTCTTCATTTTTGGTCTCCTCCCTCTGGAGTAGAACAATTGAATAAGCCAAAAATAAGATGCTCTTGTATTCTTGTCTCAAGATGATTGATGAGAGTATGAATGCTAAAATCTATAAAATTTCTCCTATTTTTAGAGTAGATTTCTTTATGTATTGTGGCTCTATAATTTTTTTCTCATTTTCAATTTTTTCCACATTAAATCTCACTATTCTTCTCCATCATTCTTCCTTCTTATTTATTTTGTTCTTGCTTTACTTCCCATCAGCAACAATTACAAACACATGCAGCTCATCTTACTCAGAAGTTTAGGTTTCAATATATATATTTAATTTGAAATTTTCTATATACATTATGTGTGAATTTACTATTAAATTTGTTCAAAAAAAAATCAAAAAAAAATAGGACTATCACCCACGTGAACTTAGTGGGCTAAGTTACAAAGTGTCCCAAGTCAGTATCTTAAATTTTCTTGTTCTTAGCTGGTCCTGACGTGTGGGACTATTTATAAAGTTGCTTTACTTCCCTCATCATTTGCATTACTTAAAATTGTTCTTTTTTTAGGGATTTGTAGGTCAATTAAGATAAATTCATACACATATCACATGCGTAAAACTCGAACACAAGACCTCTTAGTCGATAACCAAAGCTCTCAATCAACAGAACAAACACATTTGTATTACTTAAAGATTAGATAGAGATATAAGACGAGAATTCGATACTTGAGACGACTTTGAGCTAAATACTTGTAGAAGAATTGAGCTATATAAAAAAGTATCATAGTATTCATTTAGAAAATTGTAAATATAATAAATCATATTAATTTCAGTTCAATTCTTCATCTTTGATATTCCATCGTATAAGTAAATATTTCAATGGTTTTTATTAAAACAAAGAGAAAAGGGAGTAAAGATTGAGATATTCAATAACTCTCTCTCATCGCTTTCTCTTTATTCTATGTTTCTATCTTCTTTTTTGTTATTCTTTAGTGATATGCATCATAATTTAGATAAGATTTTAGGATGAAAATAATTTTCACATGAGCCTTCTTAGGGGTTTCAAACACATGATATTTTTTTGATACAATAAGACATTCAAAATCATCTAAAGATCAAATAATCTACAAAAATCTAAGAGAGATATTAAAATACTAATATAATTAGTTCAACTTGAGAACCAGATGAAAAAGTAACTTGTAGAAGGAAGATTGAGCACTGAGAGGCATGATATTGGTGTAGGTTTATTTACTTATTTTACCTTACAGTATTCATCTTCATGATATATTTAAAAAGAGGCAAAATAGGAAGGAACTTTAGCTCTCTAAATCTAACATTTTAATGAACCAAACTTAGTTTTCATACAAAATAATCAAATTTGAACACAGACGATTCAAATCCAACCCAAATTAAAACAACATGAAGAACATATACAAACATAAGTGACATAAGCTTCGTTTGGACAGCTTTCTTACTACTTTTTAAAACAGTGTCATAGTACAAAATTAAAAAGGCGCACAACTATTCCACGTTCAAGCACAGTTCCCAGTATTCATTATTCAGCATCGCCCATATATATAATGCAGCTAATCAATAAGCCCCCAAAGAAACTTCAGAATGCTTCATCAAACTATTTACGTAGTCTTTCCTTGCCGGGTGATCATCTTGAGGGCGATTGTAAGCGGTCCAAACAGGTTCCCCAATAAACAATCTCATTAACTGAACAAAAACCAAAAGCTACATCTAAGTCACAAAACTTGCTAAAAGCTATCTGTACATATGTCAGAACATATCTAAATTCCATCATTAATCATATTTGTTTTTTTGGTTTTGAATCTCATATCATAATATCAAGGCATGAGCTGAAGTTTAGAATGAGTTTGTGCAACATCTCATTACATAGACAGTCAAAATGTTTGAAACTTTGGCTTCATTTGGGACGGCTTTCTTTCTGTTTCTTAAACCAGCTTTTTAGTATAAAAATTTTATTAGTTGTACAAAAAAACTGCTTTAAAAAGCAGTAAGAAAGTCATCCCAAACGAAACCTTAAGCTTTGTCTGGGATGACTTTTTTGTTGCTTTCTAAAACAATTTTTAGTACAAAAAAAATTGTATTAGAAAGTTGCTTCTAAAATGAATAAGAAAATCATTCCAAATGAGGTCTTAATTACCTTCCTGAATATACTTGGGCATAGCTAACTAAACCTTTAAATTACATGATTAACCTCATAAGGCAGGAAATAAGTTTTCCCTTTTTTTTATTATATTGAAAGCCCACGCGAAGTCATAAAATAGAAAATGTTAAGAACTTGTTCTTTAGCATAAAGATGAGACATACCTTAACATAGTTGGACGTGTCTAATGTAAATCGATGATAGATGCCCGCCGGTAATACAATCATGTCACCCTCTTTGATCCTGATGCGAATCCAAGAGTCGCCTTTGTCTCTAACATCAAAGTATCCACCACCTTCCAAACAATAACGAATCTCTTCATCAGAATGCATGTGCTCTATGTAGAAATTCTTTAGCTTTTCCTCATAGTTCTCTACTTTCCCAGGGCCAAGCTCAAGGAAATCCTGAGATCAGTAGGTTTGACAGAAGAAACTAAAATGACATATCGACTTGCAAAGAGAAGGAAATTAGTTATCATGAAATTTGAGGGGTTGAGTGAAAACCATGTAACTGTATCCACCAGCTTCTCGAATTTTTTTCAGTTCTTCCTCGCTCTCAGGTTTTTTTGGATCCAAATGCCAATAGACAACACCAATTTCTGAAATAATTGAAATGTTAGGATAGAGAAGACAGGCAAAGCAGATGAATCAAATAATGAAAACACAATAAACATGCAAATTTGTTCCCATCAAATAATTTATTCATACAGCATTTACTTATCTCGAGGATAATTTATTTTTTAATTTAGACAATAGATTTCTATAGCGGGATTTAAATACATAGAACTCAAATCTATATCATTTGTATATTTAATGTCAAAATTTCATTATTTATTTTCATAGAACTCAAAAAATCTAAATGACAAGAAAATTAACGCCCTCCTCACCTCTCCATTAAATCCCATCCATATGCAGCCTATCCCACCAGTGTGACTTCCTGTTTTCTCTATTTGTCAGTACGATGTCAATCCCAATGTTGCCCTAATTAGCGAGATTCTGTTACGACTTCCTCATCTCTTTGCACATCGTTGATCAAATTGATGCCTTTACCAAGGAGATTTTGTTACAACTTTCTTGCATTCTTTGTCATTTACATGCTATCAGTCTCATTGATACCACTCCTTGCGAGATTACATCACAACTTATTTGTCACTTCATGGTTCGGCTAGGGTTTTGTGAAGGTGGTTAAGAAACTTAAAATGAGTGCTACGTTATATATATGGTGAAATTTAGGTGTTAAATATGTAAATAATATAATCTCTTGAGTGCTATGTATGTAAATCCTCCATCTCTTTAATATAGATCCTCCAACTAGACAAGGTTCATTTTCAAAGTGGGCTTCTAAACAAAAGAAAGGACCTATAATTTCTGTTGGAAAAAAAAAAACATTGTTTGCCTTCTCCTTAATCCTGCAAATTCTCTGTTGCGTCCTGGAATATTCACGGTGGTAGAGAAGTATAAAATTTAACATCTTAGTGTTGTACGAAGATCCAGTACAAAAACAGATGAAAGAGATGGTGCAGTATTTATAAGAAGCACCAAGATTTTTATGTGAAAAATCCTAAAAAGGGATAAAATCACAGGGTCTGAACCAGTTCGAATGAGGCTCTTCCTTAGGGGAAGTTCTTGGCTTGATGTAAAAAATATACATTATATAAAATGAATTACATGATAGGACATAAAAGAATCACTATCAATATATTTGTTTGGTCGGTAGAACCATAGTCAGCGGGCGATGTAGGCCGGATGGACCGTAGTCATCTGGTGACGGAGGTCGGAAGTCCGACGATGGGCGGATTTCCGACGTCAAGTAGAAGTTCAATAATGGACGGAAGTCTGGAATCAGATAGAAGTCCAACAGAAGCCCAACGACGGGCGAAAGTCCAACGAAAATCCAGCGACGGACACAAGTCTAATGTCGGGTAAAAGTCTAGCGATGGACATAATTCAGGCGACGGGCAAAAGTTTGGCGTCGGGTAGAAGTCTGATGAAAATTTGGCGACGGGTAGAAGTCCAGTGGCGATGGGCGGAAGTACGGCGACGGGTGGAAGTTCGACGACGGGTACAAATCTGGCGACGGGCGAAAGTCTGGCATCGGGTAGAAGTACGGCGAAGGACAAAGGTCTAGCGTCAGATAGAAGTCTGACGGAAGTCCGGCGATGGGCAGAAGTCCGGTGACGGGCGGAAGTCTGGCATCGAGTAGAAATTCGGAGACGAGCAGAAGTTCGGCGACAGATGAAAGTTCGACGTTGGACAGGAGTCCGGCGACGAGCGAAATCCACCGTCGGATAGAATCCAGTGACGGGTAGAAATCCAACGATGGACAAAAGTCCAGCGTCAGTTGGTGGTCAGGCAAAAATTCGGTGTTCATCTGTAGCCGGGCAAAAGTCCGGCGATAGTCGGCGGCCAGGCTGAAGTCCGGCAGAGGTCAATGAGGAGTCTGGTGGCAAGAGAACTCTTCCTTTTTTTCGTTTTTAAACGGAGGTATTAGAACGAATAAGCAGAATTTTTTTTTCTTTTCAAATCAGCAGAAACACAGAGGTATAGGAAAAGTTATTATAAAAAAGTCGTTAACAAACAATAAAGCAATAACTTTTTCATCAATTTGAACAGGAAACACAGTAATGAAGCCCAAACAAAGCAGGCCTAAATGAACTCGGTGCCCCTTCAATCTTACTAGTGAACCCAAATAGATCACGACGATCCAGACTGAAGAGAAGCAAAATTGAGCCAGGAATAGGGCAAGTTTAGCAGCCATTTGTAAGAACCTAAGCCTAACTGACCCACTCTTTATCCAAATTACACCTACTGGCATATACTAGCATCCTGCACAGTTTTGGCATTAAGTTTTTAATAATTCCATTCATAAGTAAGCATGCCAGAGACATATCAATGATTCAAAACAGTTTTGCGATTAATAGCTATTAACGATAAAGCAAGACAAATCCCTGTCATCAAAAAATTAGAAGTAGCTTCAGTCATCATCTTTGAACAAAAGGCTAATTGCAAGAAAGCTAAGTCAATCATTTAACCATCGATAATAAAAAAAAAAAAAAACAACCTGCGAGCTTATCCAGAGAGAGAAATTCCTTAGGGTTTCGGTGGTTGGGAGGTCTTTGATCCTCTGCGCTCTCTTCGATCAACCAAGCCTATTTCGATTAGTTACGAAATCAGCAGAGCCATCCACCGTGAAAGAAATATAGATAAATAAAAGTGCGCAAACTTCGCAAAATTCAAACTATTTCAAAAGAAATCCAATTATCGATTAGCAAGAGAACTGAAATACATGCCTCGGGTGCCATTGAAGCGATGATTTACTCCCAGATTTGAAGTTCTTCGCAAGACGACCGATTGCAATGCAAGGCTTATAATCATATGCAGTGATGGCACACTGTAGAAGTTTAAGTGCTTAAATATCCTGAACTTGCTTTAAAAATTGAACTCCGTATTTTTGGAAGGTCAGCAAATAATCATCGAGCACAGCTCTTAAAGCAAATACACTGAAAATCCAAGGGCTGTAACTTCCTTTGTTAATTCTTTGAATGTGCTGCTGTGCATAGTAATTTATCTTATATATTTTCTGGATGCTTCGGTTGATGATTTGCGGTGCTCTCCTTCTCTTTATGGAGACCATAAAAATTGAGAAATATCTCTCCCATGTGCTCATTTTCATTAAATTTAGCCTTATAAAACTATTTTTCAGTAAAAAAAAAATTTAAAAGAAAAAAAAAACAATGATATAGAGGTGGCCTAAGCTTAGTTTGGAATAAATTTTTGTTGCTTCTTGAAACATATTTTTAGTAAAAAATAAAATTTTTATATTAAAAAATTACTTTAAGAAGCAGAAAAAAAGCCGCCCCAAACAAAATCATAGTCTAATATTGAAGAATCGAGAACTGCAAACAACAATAACAAGACAAACAACAACATAAGTTTTTATCCCACTGTAGGGTGAGCTATTTAAATCATTTTTCTTTATTTTAATCTATTAAGATTTAAGAGTTAAATTCTCATTTAAATCTAATAAAAAAATATTTCTAATATTTTCTAACCAATTCTTTTTAAATCTATCTTTAAATTTTCTTAACATATGCCGCATCTAATACATCTAATCTCACAACTGGGTCATCGAAAGACCGACATTTTTTATGACCAAATCATCTAGGACGAGTTTTTTGTGACCAAATCATCTAAGACTAGATGATTCTCTCTAACCTTATCTGTAACTAGAAAACTGCCAATTGGAATAAAATGTTGCTAGTATTTTTATTATTTGATCAGCTCCTTTTGGAAAACCATGGCTCTGTCCAAATATCTCGACCATTTTCTCATCAAATGAATCTAATCGTTCCTAAAAAATCTTTTTAAGATAAATAGAATAAGTCATAAAATTTTTAAATGATTACTAAATTAATCAAAATGAATTTTAAAATTATTATATTTATTTTTAAATGAATGACTGCAATGAATTTAGAAGTCATTAAATTAACTTTCATTCTAATTAAATTTTAATTAAAATATTATAACTTTTTTTTTAATAAAATTTATTGAACATAACATGACAAAAATTATTTTAATAAAAATCTTAAAATTATTAAATATATTTTGAAACATACATAATATTTGATTAATCAATTAAAAATAGCATTACATTTAACATCACAATCATCTTAAATCAAATCCAATAGCTTCAAAAACTCTCAAATTTCTTAAAATTTTAATTTATTTTTTTACCATGGGCAGGCTATGGCTTCATTTGGGACAGCTTTCTTAATTAGAGGATAGAGAAAAAAAAGAAAGAATGCAGATGCTGTTAAGGGCCTAGAACCAAGAATTTGCAGTATTTAAGACGGTTCTATTGATGTAAGTATTTCGTTCATGGTTCTTGACTGTTCACTCTGCTATGGAGTTCTAGCATTTCTTGGTGGTTAGGATCCACAGAGAGGGCAGCCCTGCAGTCACGAAGAGCTCCGGCCATGTTTCCGATATGCTCGTGGAAGGCGGCTCTTAAGTGGAGCAGATGGAGGTCTGCTTTGAAGGCAATTGCTCTGCTGAGCTCGGCAATGGCCTCTTCCTCATGTTGAGTATCCATCAGCACTGCCATAAGAAAGAAGAAGCAGAGTCACTACTACAGCAGCTAAACAAGGAGCTTTAAGAACCATCTGCTCGACTATGGTGCACAAGTTGAGAATGGGAAGTTGGAGTAGAAGATGCGGTAAATTGAGAGATTTAGGCTTGGTTTGGGACGGTTTTTTTATTGCTTCTTAAAGTAGCTTCCTAGTACAAAACTTTTAAGAAACAGAAAGAAAGCCGTCCCATACGAAGCCTTAAATCTTTAAAAGCATGTCAAGAAAAAAAAAAGATTTAACCACATAATGTTAATATCTCTGACAAATGTCAATAAGTTAAGAAAACTGATAGGAAATACTTGAGTTCGCAAGTAACCTAAGGGTAATACTTGAGTTTGCAAGCAAACTGATGAGGACATCGGAGATCAACGGCTACAATCTTGAGTCTATTTATTTATGTGTTTTATTTTATTTTGTTGTTTTTCCTTTTTACCTTTATGGGTGGTCATGTAGTGTTGTAGCCCGAAGGGCATTTTAGTCTTTTATTTCTTTTCTCTTCATGTGGCCTATTTATAGGCTAGTTTCTTGTAATTTGAGGATGATGAATATTGATATGAAATTTTCAATTTGTGCTTATGGATCTCTTTGTGAGTTCTAAGTTCTCTCTCTTGGAATGATCTCTTAGTGAGTTCGTGAGAAGAGAGGCACAAGTGGGGAAAAAGCAATACCCGTCAATCTTGGTGGATTCCAAGGTTCGCGGTTCTCTTATCTTCTTTTTCTTTTATTTTTCTTCTTGCATCGAATTCCCTCTCCACCCGCTACGTCCATAGCTTCCACCGCCGGCCATTCTCACCACCCAAATTCTCTCCCAAATTCCTCCACCTCAAGCCCCTATTTCCTCCAACCCGCTGGCTGCCTTGGCCTACCCAGTCGCCGGCCACCCCTCCCAAAGACACCATCTCCACCACGGCCCGTCACCATCTCCACCCCTATGCCGCCGGCCACCTCTCCCTCTCCCATGGAATTTGAAATTCAAAATTCTAAGCCCCATAAATACTTTCCTAAAATAATCCTCCCAATTAGGAAGGTTTATTAATTTGAATTCAATCCAATATTTGAATTCAAATAATTCCCTCCCTAATAAATTTCAATTAGGAAACTCCTTCATCTAATGAAATCTGAATTAAAATTTCATATTTGATTAAAACCTTTAGTAATTTCTGTGGGCCCCACATACTAAGCAATTAACTCCCTCTCCACTCTCCCTACATGGCCGGCCACTTAATCTTCCCCCCTCTCTCTCCGATTTTCATTAATTGCTCTCCATTAAGACTCTCTAATTACCTCCCATAATTCCTCACCTCCCATTAATCCTTTCATTTGAATTTCCTTCCCTCCAATTTTATTAAATTTGAGAATTAATTTCAAATTTTGTTTGACTTTTCTCTCTCCCAAGTTAATCTCATTAATTCCCCTTACAATTATCAGCCCTAACCGCCACTTCCCAAAACTCCTCTCACATTTTCCTCCCTTCCCAGAGATTCCTGCTGACTGTCCCCATCTTCCAGCCATATTGGCTGGCTGTTCTGCACTGCTGAAGGCCAGAGCTTGCTGCCCAAAGGCTCCCAACACCCTATCAAAGCTGTCCAAAATTCTTCCGAACATTGAGAGCTGCTGTCCAGATTTTCTGGGCGTTGTTTGGAGGCTGTCCAGATTATTCTGCTCGTCCCCTTGCTGTCCAGAGGGAGGAAATCCCTGAAATTCCCTCCTCCAGTTTGCTGTCCAGATTCTTGGACAGGTGTCATATGCTATCCTGAGTATTGGAAACTTGAATGATACTATCCAGAAGCCTACGAGTTGCTGTCCAGAACTCCCAAGACCCAAAACCTGCTGTCCAAACTTCCGTGGGTGCTGTCCAGAGATTGTGGCTTGCAATCCAAAACATTTCAGCAAAGTATTAGGTTGTCCAGTGCACCAGAGAAGATTCGGCTGCTATCCAACAGCAATTAAGAGGGCTTTCTTGTCTTCCCATTAGGTAAACTCTCCCTCGAAATCTCTTATTTTCCTAGTCCACTTCTCGCTTGTGGTTATTTTGGATCCATGAAGATTATGTTGATTATCCTCCGCTAAAAAACTTAGTAAGCTAGAGAGTGAAGTGAGGGATCTTTGCATTGTGGCTAATCTTATTGTTAAACTAGGATCTCTTGTTGAAAATCATCCATGTATGCAACATCAGATTAACGTGCTTGTTTTATGATCTTAGCTTTTACGCGCGTGATTCGGCCTAAGCTTATTTTACCGCTCCTAGTGCTTTCTTTTGTCGTTAGAGCATTCATTGTGAAGATATGATTATTATGGCTTCTAACATTAAGCGTGCAAACTCCCTAAGTTAATCATCCTTGGAAGTACGTTTCACATCACAAACCTATCACCAATTGGTGAAAAACAGCGAGAAAAATGCAAAATCTGGGTGACATCAGCCCCAAAACGATAGATTGCGGTAGGAAAATCAAAGCCAAACAAGAATGAAAACAAGATACAAGAGATCCTCAATTTGAGAGGAGGATCGTCTCTCCAAAATCTCTAGAAAAAAGAGTCTAGAACCCAAGTCGCTAAAGAACCCTAATAGAGAACAAATCAAAACATAACCTAAATCTAAAACATCTCGAGATATTTAATACAATAACTTTCCTAACAAATTTCCCTCCCAAGTCCAAGCCGCCCCCTCCTTTTCAAATTTGAATTTAATTTGACTAGTGGGACACAAAATAGTGGGCGGCATCCATAGGGGAGGCGGGACTAGCCCGCCTACTGTAAACACGAACCGACCCTGGACAGGCCGGTTGGGCCGGTTCCTCCTATCAAAAACTTCCACATAGACAACAAGCATATTAAGAAAATGTTTTAAGTGATCTAACCTGCAGCTCGATATCTGTAGGGATAAACACGCAGCGGATCCAATTTGGTCACCATCTGCAGATCAGCTTTTGTTAGCTCACGATCACAGTACTCAGACCTCTTTTCATATGCTGAGGCATTGTGTCTGGCCTTCTCTATGAACTTGGTCATTTCCTCATATGCTGAATTTCTATTATTTTGGAGGAAATGGACTCGAGCAAGTCCTTGATGAGCTCTGGTGTGTTGAATCCTGAGGGCAGTCATATAGCAATCTGCAGCCAGATCTAGATTCCCACAATCAACATATACACTACCAAGATTGTTCAAGGCCTGCATTATGAATATCAAAATTTCTAGTTTTTGCAGCTCTTAAATATTCATGTAATGACATATCCAAGCTAAGTTCATAGCTTGATAAAAATGTACAGTCAAAGCTAAACAGATCAATCATTTGAACAGTCAAAAAGGATTTACATGCCATCCAAGTTCTTATATAAAGTCGCCTCCACCATTATTGCCCTGCAAAATGAAAGGTTAAGACCGACATGCTTGATCTGACATGATAGATTGGGCATACCAACACTGAAGATAAGATGGTGGATTGCAAGGAGCATTTAGTGCCTTGATATAAAGTCAACGAGGCTTCCATCGCATTGGCAAAGAAAAACAACTTAACAACCTATGTGTAACAAATAATGCAACCAACAACACCATGAGAATAACACTGTCATCAAAACAACACCTCAAATGTGATCTCCCAGAGGAGACAACAAGCATAGAAAATATTAAAACAATGCTTCATATGTATATACGTATTTAGGTATGAATATGGTAGGAATACATCCCTCCCCTCCGACTAAGATTCAACATTTAGACTTCCCTCCACAGTTTTCTTATTTGTTGAGTCCATGTTTTCGTAAACAGAATTTTGAAGGTGTTGCCAGCCCTCTACAGCATTGTGATGGGTTCTTCTGACGCTATCATGGAGCCTTCTTTGTTTTCCCTTGTGTTTAGAGTGTGAGAGCAGTGTAAGAAAGAAGAGAAGCAAAAGAGAGATCTGTACTTATTTCTCCCAATTTTCATAATGGATTTCTTGGTGTGGTGTGGCTCCATAGTATTTTTTTTTTTCCGATTTTGAGTTTTTCCATGTTAAATGCTAGTGTCTTCTACTTTACGCTGCATTTCTATTTTTCTTGTTTGTTTCGTTGCGGTGTTTACTTCCATTCCCAACAACATTATATTGAGAACAACATTCAAATATAAAAATCTTAATACTCCAGAATCAACCACAAGTGTTAGTAACTTCAGAAGCTTAAATTTTAAACAAAGTAACACTTAAGCTTTTGACGGGAGAAAACAAAATGAACTAACATTAACCAAACAACCAACACATTCCAAAAATAAGAACAAAACCAGCAAAAACTTTTGGTATAATTCACATTAAACGTTTTTTAAAGAATGATCTGTAATAGAGCATAGATTAGTTGAAGTGCATAAAAAATACCTGACCCTTTCGAAGTCTATCAGAAGGACATCTTAAGGCATCTTCAAGAAGTGAGATAACAGTTGTAGAACATAAAGGATCAGTACTTGAATCTGCCATAGCATAGGCTTTCAAAAAGAAGGCCTCAAAAGACCTTTGGATGGAGATCGATTCGTCAGCTTTGCGCAGCCCTTCCTCACGGTGACCTGTATCATATAAAATCCATCCCTCATACACCAGCCGATCATGTAAACTGGTTGCATGCTCACGAGCAAGCTGTAAGCTTCGCATTGCTGCTTCAGGACAGTTCAACCTAAATCAACAAAAATCACAGAATCTTCATATTACATCACCAAATAGAGAATAAAAGATACGCATGGTTTTTCAGGCTAAATAAGGCTTTGTTTGGGACGGCTTTCTTACTGCTTCTTGAAGCAGCATTTTAATAAAAAAATTAATTTTTTTATACTAAAAAGCTGCTTTAAGAAGCAGTAAGAAAGCCATCTCAAATGAAACCTAAATCAGGTTGCATCTAAAAACTAAGCCGTGACATCAAAAAAACAAGTGCCCTCAAAGAGTAAAGACTGAGATGCTAGGCGCTTGCCCAAGCAAAGTAAGCCTCGCAAAACAAATAGTTTTTTCATCCAATACACCTACTTTCATAATGAAGAAGACTTTTAAGAGTGTAACTTGCAACATTAAATTATTTTGGATGAAATAATAAAATTTTCCCAAGTAAGAAGAAATAAACAGTAATTTCATCTAATACGCCTAATTTCATTATGAAGAAGAGTTTTGCGAGTACATAACAACTCTCTGCATTAAATTATTTCGGATAAAAATAATAAATTTTTAAGTTCCATCACATTTTAAGTAAGAAAAATTTACTAAATTAATGACCTTAATAATGCACCTAAGGATATTTTAATGTTCACTATTATCTGTATCATCTTCGTTAACATCCGTAATTTATTTTTTATCACTAGATTTGTAACCTACCATCTCTTTTAATTTCATCTCAAAATCATATTTCTCTTCCTTAAGATTGACCACTCTAGAACATGAATTGATCTAACTTGTTTCCCAATGTGCCTTCTTATTTCTTCAACTCTTGATGCTCTTTCCACGTCACTACAAGCCTCATTTTCATCATCAAAAACTATGTCATCTTCTGTGAATGTTATTACTAAAAAAGGGCGTGCCTGATACATAGAGCTCTAGTTAATTCAATGTTTAGAGAGGGGTTGTATGCAAACTTAGCCAACATTTTCTAAGAGAATATTTTCATAACTCGAATATGGAAGAATCATAATACCCTAGAAGCAACATAATCATTGCTGAATTTTTGCTAACTGCTAGCAGTCATCTTTCTAACACTTGTCTCAGTGGAATTTGATTGTGTTGATCAATTGGATTGTACTATTGCCCCGGACATCAATTCATTTTGTTGAGCGCGCTGGGGGTTGTAGGGGGTCCTCCCCCTACTTGGGTTTGGGTGCAACCGTACAACTGTACAGTGCTACGGCATTGTGTACTAGAGCGACCCGACGCTGCATAGTTTTCTTCAAGAAAGACAGAGAGCGGAGCGTTGCGTCGCTCGAAACGTCGCTCGAAACATCAGCACTTTAGCGCTACCAGAGGGCGGCAAGGTGCTATGGCTCTCCGGATCCTAGCACTGTCAAGCAGACTGGAGATAGAGAGTTGCTGGTTGCAGCGCTGCAAAATGGACTGGCAATTTTCTTTCTCATTTTTCATTAAGGGTTGCATCACTTGGTGGTTTTGTAAGTTTCTCTTTGTATGTTCTAGTGTGAGAACGGTGCAAGGGTGAAAAGAAGAAAGGAGAGAGTGATAAAGAAGAGAGATCTGTAGTATTTCTCCTAAATTTTCTTCGTGAATTTCTCGGTGCATTGTGGCTCCATGGGTTTTTCCCGATTTCAGGTTTTTCCACGTTAAATCCTGATGTTCTTTATTTTCGCTGCATTTTATCTATCATGTTTGTACCCGCAGTATGTTTTACTTCCCCCACCATGCCTAACTAATTGGAGCCTTAAAGAAGGCACTCGCTTAACTAGTGTGTTAGTAATGGTACCCACCTATGAGAAACAAGGCAATATAGCCTCATACCACATTGTTCAAATTCCTAGGCGAGCACTAGCTCGCCTAGCCACACTAAGATTAAGAGAATGATGACACATCTAAATGGATGGCATAAATACCCTCCATCCTAATATGTGTAGAAAAAAAACTCTTGAATATTTTTTAAAACATTAGATAATTAAATAGCTAAGAGTTACGCGTGGATGGCTTGTTAACCATACATATTTTTGGGTATAGGATTGTATATTGAGCCTAATATATGCATTAAAATCATCAAGTCCTTTTCTATTGTATCTAATAGGCTTGAGCCTATGGTTAAGGGGCATCCATTAACATATTTGAACTATACTCGTTTGAGTTTCTATTATAAGACCAAGCCACTTTCTTAACCTTTATAATCTGCCACAAAAAGCTAGTCCACGCCAAATTCACTCCCACAAATCCCACAACTTTTTGTACAGCGACCTTAGCACTCCAACTGAACATTAGCTTTCTCAAACTCATGGAGAATCCCATGAGACACTTTGCAGGATTTCCTTTCAAATTTTAAGTACTCCACAAAAGCCACTTATCCACAAGTGTGCATGTGTGCTTTGGTTATAATACATAGTAAAAGCATACATGAACATGTTACAAACTATTGAAGTAAAAAAGACGCATTTATTATCATATTCAGTTGCAGTAGATACCTAAGGAGAAGCAGAGATTGTCTAAAATATAAAACACCTTTTGCAGCATAGGGCATCTCAAGCATTTGATAGATAACTGAAAGAGAACCAATATCATCAACAGTTGACCACCGCTCATAAAGTTGAAGCCAACAATCAGCAATTGTACACTGCTCAACATGTTCTTGAACAAGTATTTGTAATAACACAGAAGCTACACGTCCTTCAAACATTCGATAATCTGGAGACAATGTGAGGATTGTTTGTACATCACACAGTGCGGATCTATAATCTTCAAGTGCCAAATATAAACAAAACCGTAATTCTAAACATTCTAGAGCCAATTTGAACCCCAAAACACGATTAATTTCCACTAGAGCAGCATCCACATTTTGCTGCTTCATCAAATATGATGCTCGAAACATGTAAGGATAAAGAAGAGTAGGATCTAACTCTGTTGCCTTATCAAGGTTTTCCCATTTTTTCTCTCCCTCCGTGTACAAAGATCTCTCTAGATACATCCAACCTAGAGGATTATAAGAAGAAATTACAGTACTGAGCATCTCATATGACAAATGCTTATCACTCTTGAAGCAAGCAATTCTAGCCAATCCAGCAACAGAGTAGATGTGCCCGGCCGCGACAGCAGAACCAAAAAGACTTTCTGCTTCATCATATTCCTTTCGCAAAAGCCTCACACATCCGAGCTGATGAAAGGCTAACTGTCTTTGCCTGCTACTCACGGCACACTCAACCAACTTCTCCACAAAGGAAGCAGCAACATCCGATATGGGATTAGCATTCATGGCAACTTCACTTAGAAAACAATATAACGAGAATGAGGCATGACCAACCATGATAGACCTTTGTTGCCTATTTGCAGTGGAGAAAATCCTAATTACTTGCTCATCTTGCAGACAATCAGCAAGATTTTGAAGGAAAAATTGTAGACAAGAAGCAGCAAGAACTGGAGAATTTTCTTCCAGTGCACATTCCATAAGTTCAACAGCATCTTGCTTTGAAGAAACCAAAGATGCCAACTTTCTATCACATGTCACTTTGAGCCTCTCACAACAGAATGTATTTGCAAAAACCAAAATCTCCAATAAAATATCCACAGATAATGAATCATTTAAACTTCCAAATAGACTGAAATCACTTATTGCCCTCATACCTATTGGGGAGATACTGTTCTCCGACATATCTATGACTTCTTGAATGGACTCAGTAAAGCACCCTTGAAGCATGGTTTGGAATGGATGGGACAAATTAGCAATCTTTTGCCGATCACAGGCTATATACTCTTCTCTAACACGGAAGAATACAGTGCTTGATTTCTCTATTTCACCAGACAAACTGTTATTCATTAGCTCTGAAGCCTGAATAGGGATTTCAGAAGCAACATCCAGGATACTAAATTCCTGGGAACATTTCCTGCATGATGAAAGGAGATCAGAGATGGGTTCTTCTTCTTTTTTCTCATACTTGAGCCATGCTGCAAAAATGAGCTTCTCATAAACCGTGGTAGCTTTCTCCAAAGCAGAGCGCAGGCTACTCTGAGGCAACTTAACCTCCCCAAGACCCCTAAATACCTGAAACTGCTGCAAGTACAATTCTGACTTCTCATGAGGCAAACAGCATTCCAACTCTTCATGGATCTGAGCCAGGACCTCTACATAATCAATTGGCTTAAAAAACGGAAGAACAGGCGGCTCTGCAACCTTGATAAGAGACTCGCTGCATTGGAATGCTCCGTTAAACGTTTCAGACATTACAAAAAGAAAAAAGATTGCACCAAACGGTTCAAAAAATGAAAGAGAAGCAGAGAAAACATACATAGAAGACGGAGAATGCGAGGAAACATTGGAGACCTTTCCCCTCTCAACCTGCAGCCATGACTGAGGATTAAAGACATGAAGCTGCGTTTCCTTGCAGGTTTCAGCAAGGAACAGATTCCTCATGGCGCTTAGGATCGCAGAAAATGCCCAAATCTCCACAGTTTCGGAAAGGATTCCGCCGTTCCGCCAAAAAACTCAACAAGCTATCTCGTTAAATTGGAATCCAATAAAGGTAGCTCCTTTAGCTCCGTAAACCATCAATCAAGTCAGACGCGTTTGTAGCATTCGAAATCATTAGCGAAATACAAAAAGGAAACGATCAAAAAGCAAAGCTACTAAGATAAAAACCATTTGTTCCTCTCTTTGTTGGCATTAGAAACCCAAATCCATTGCATCACCGCTCTCCCCCAAAAGACAAAAGAAACGGTCCTCTTTTCATATACCTCAACATCGAGAACAACGTAGAATATAATCCATCCAAGAAGACGATCTAATTCAAAAATATACTGTCGCTTTCAGCGCAAACTCACATTTCAGGTCTCGAAAAATTGTCCAGAAAAAATGCAAAAGTGCCGTAGTTACGGATAATGAGTTGAGGAGAAACCCACCGATCTCTTTGGGTTGCAGAGGTGAGGAGGCATTTCCAAATGAAATCTCGGCCTAAATTCAGCGATGAACGGAGAAAGTGTCAGCTAACCTCACAAAGAAAAACTGCAGGCGAAGATCACTTCAGCACTTCCGACTTTACCTTCTTCGTGTTCCAACTGGGCAGAGAGAGGAGTAATTATTTTGTCCTGACACCGTCCATATAGACCAATAACAAATGTCAGGTCAGTTGGGCATTCGGTACAATGCTCCATATAACACTCGCTCGTTATTCATCCGGATTTTTAATTTTTTTTTCGGACATAATAACTTTTTCAAAGAGAGATTACGAGAGGTTTTGAATTAAATTAAATTAAAATCATGATAATACGATATGTTGGACATGGGACATATTTATTAGCTGATTTACCTAAATCATTTAACCCTAAATCCTATATTTATATAATTGTTAATTTATTTATTTATTTATTTATATAATGCTTTAACATTTAAATTTGTTGCGGGCTAAAATATTAACGGCAGTAGAGTGAGTAAATTTTTCGTCTTAGTAATGCACAGATATCTAGTATATAAACAGAGAGAAAAGTAAAACACAATATTTTTTTTAATATAGAAAGCCCAAATAGGGAAAAATAACGGGGCCTCGCTCAGGTGACAAGATTCCTTTAAATTTGAGTGAATTACAAATATTAAATCATCTCTTGACTTAGAGGTGGTCAAATTACAGTAATTTTGAAAGTTAGGCAAATGTCTAGCGACGGTTAGGCAAAAGTCCGACGACGTCCAATAAGAAGTTTAGCTGACGGTGAATGATCCGACGAAGGATGGGCGGAAGTTCGACAACCCTCGACTGCCTGGTGGAAGACCGGAGGTAGTCGGCGGTCCGATGGTGATCCGACGAAGGCCAGGCTTAAGTCTGGGGCGGCCGTGTAGAAGTTCAATAGTGGTCGACGACAAAACGGTGGTCTAAAGACGGCCGGTCTGAACTCTAGCTGCAGTCGGACAGTGGTGTTAGAGCTCTTGAAGCCTCAGAGCTCTCTCCAATCTCTAGTCAAATGTCCTCTTCATGTAAAGAGTGTGGGTCTATTTATAGAGCTTCATGAGTGGCACACCTAGCAAATATAAAGAATATCCGGGGTAGGTTCGGAGTGCTCCACCGAATGGCTCATATTGATTCCCTGGTCATAAAGAGATTTTTAATTGTCTAAGTGCCTTAACAATGTCGAAATTTAACGATCTTGAGCTCGTTGGATTTGTCTCACCGAGCCGCTCAATTTGACTATAATCATGACATATTTGGATATCATTTTGTCATCCAAATAATACTTTGACCCTTCCAAATGTTGTTAGGTCCCCCAATTTGGACCCATTTGGGCTCGAGTTGGACCAATTTTGGTGTTGTTAGGTTTGTCTCTTTGAGACATTCAGTTTGACTATAAGTTTGTTGAAATTGGAATTCAAATGATCCCAAATTTAATTTTGAATGTTTCCAACTTGAGTACGCCTCAGGATTCGTGTATGATCAAGACAATTTTTGTTGACATATGAAAATCATATTCAAATAATATTAATATTAACTTATTTAAATTAACATATATTATATATAATGTGATTTAGATATTAGGATATTAAAATTTTGTTAAGTAATCAAATATAAATCTTGAAAGTAAAATTGAATTGAAAAATTATTGGAATTAAAATAGAATCATTTGAGCGATCTATTTCAACAAATTTAAATTCAAAACGAATATTTTGATGAGATAAATCCAACAATATCAAAAGTACATTGATCCGAGTCTAAGTAAGACTAAATCAAGTGCTTGAAATATAACTAGAAACTATATTATTTAATAGGCAAAATTATCTCCAAATTGTATATGCCTATAGTAAAAATGAGTGTCTTAATCAGAGGAATTCAATGAATCCAATATTATTTAATTTTGATATCATTATACTTAAATAGTTAAAGCATAATTAATGGTTAAAGGAATCAAAATAAATTATCTAATAGAGTTTTTGGGGCTTTGAGAAAAAATAATAAAAATGTCACTCTCAAAATGAATAAAGACCACATTCTTTATATGTTGGGACCTAGACTTACACCTTAAGCTAGAGTTAGAAAGAGTTTTGCTTGACAATTGATGTCAATAATCATCTTCAACAGCCACCGACCACAATCATCCAATCATCATTATCTAACCACAGTTAATTAATTAATATAGCCCAGCCATATAAATTATCATCATATTATTAAGTTCAACCATAGTCACCTAACCACCTTTGCATGTATTCAATCATCTAACAACCATTGCTTGACTATTATCATATAACTAGCATCATCTAACCAATGTTGTATGACCACAATCACTTAATAATCATCACATTGTCAAACAACATCGACACACACAATCCCAAGCAAAGTTGATGAATGTATTCGGCTCCAATATTGACATGCGCTATCACCAATAATATTGATGACGCACATCATTACCAATAAGTTTGATGTTTGTTGTCGATGCCAATATCGATGCATTTTATCGTTGACAAGACACATGTCATTGTTGTCAACCCTGATTGTTGCCACGCCAATAATAACTACTCATCGTAACCAACAACATTGACATTTGATGTCAATACTAAGACTTGTACTAAACTTAATTATCTATGGCTTTCTCTCATCTAAAAATAAAGACTAAATGGCGCACAAACAATCTTTTAAGATAACTTAAATGCTTCAAAACTCCTCAAAAGTTCACAATGGAAGCCAACCTCCATAGTTTATGTTTAATATATTGTATCAACACTTTCTATAATTGTGGGGAATGACCTATGATGTATACCAATATAATCTTTTCAAATGAAAGAGACCTCTTAATTCTTACTCTTTTTAGATTTTGATATAAAAAGATTGGTCTCTTATGAGTTGTTTTCAACATCTTCAATGCTTGTGTGTTGAATTTTAATACAATACTAAGACGACAAATTCTCTATACTACTATGAATAGTTGAATACTTTAACATGCAATAATAAAAATTTAGGTGTTACGTATGTAAAAACATAATAATGCAATGGTATATATGTAAATCTTGAAAAAAATATTATATGAAGACATATTAGACGTACATGTCAAAAATACATTTTTAAAAAACTTCAAAACAAAATTATATAATACATATATAAATTAAATAATCATAAAATATGTCCAAAAAATTTCTATAATAACTTATTTTGTTCTTCTACAAACACTATAAAAATGCATTTTAGCAAATATAATTGTTAAACACATATTTAAGTTGTCTCTTTCAAAAATTAATGTCTCTTATCAAGCTTTTACTCTCTACAATTTTTAATTCACATCATCGTTATTTTACTTAACTTGCTACACACATGTTTGATTTGTGTTTCCTTCCATGTTGATTATGGAAGAAAAGGGATTGGCGATATTTTGAAATTTTTGAAGGGCTTTTTTAGCTGATTTCCCCAACTTAGTGCTTTTTTGCTTTATTGCATTTCCAATCATTCTTCTTTCATGAGCATCAAGGATTATATTTTAATGTGCTATATATTCATTCAAATGACTCATCCTATATCATTTCCTATCTCTTCTCCCTCTTACACCCTTTGTCTTTCTCTCAAGTGTTCATACTATATCATTGGACATTCTTGGCCAAGACTAGTTCCTATTAAACCTAGTCTTGAACTTTCTCCATTCCAAGTCTTTAAGTCTAAAAAATCATCTTCATCAATTACAAAAATTTCATATACATATCCATCTAATCATCCCCAACGCATTCCAATTTCCAACCTTGGTAATCCTATTTGGTCTCCTCACCAATTCTTCAAACCCAAATAGTGGACTCTAAGGTTTTGTCCCCTCCAAGGTCTTAGATGACCACCCCATCAAGCCACCATCTCTCCACTCACCTCTATACATAACCCTTATTCTAATCTTCTATACTACCTTGAATACATCCTTCTACAACAAATTAAGGCATTGGTGGATCACCATTCCAAGGCCACAACACAATGAATGTAAAATACATGGTTCATAATCATAGTTTTTATGAGAGGAAACTTTATATTGATGTGACATGAATTTAAAGTTTAAATTATTTTAAGTAGAATTTCTTCGTCTATAATGATATGGGTTTCAGGGGTTATGATATAGTTTGGATATTGCACTGATTGTATTATGGTATTTAGTCATATGGAAGATTGGTTGTTGCAAAGATCTTAATACTGCACATATTGTCTTGTTGTTTGGGTCTTTTTATAATAAATATCTTATAATAATTTATACTTCATTGAAGATAAAAGTGGTATAGGTTTCGCGTTGGATGGTTATGGTGTATCTCTTGAAATGCATGATTTAAGTGATATAATAATTATTTGTAGTTCTTAGAGGATATTATATGCTTTCAAAACTTAAAAAATATTTATGGATAACTAAATGAATAGCTATTTATATTTTTTATAAAAGAAATCTTGGAGTTTATTCAAAATATTACCCATAATTATCAAAAACCTATCTAGATATTGATATGTGATCAAAATATTATTATATAATTGTTATGAAATTCTTGAGCAGGAAGAAGGCTTCTTGATCTTCTTGGAAGAGAGAGAGAGAGAGAGAGAGAGAGAGAGAGAGAGAGAGAGAGAGAGAGAGAGAGAGTTTTACATAAATTACTTTATTCCTTATTCAAATGGGCTATTAGAGGAGGGCTAAATCACAGCAACAAGTACATCCTATAGATAGAAATTGGACACTCATGTGATGTCTTTGCATAACAACTGACCTAAACCTAGATCAAAACCCAATAATCTCCATCTTGATCCAAATTTTACAATCAAATGTCAAAGAACGACATGTTCACAAGAACTCGTGCTTATTACAATCTGATTAGCTATCTTATGGCGAAGACGGTTTTCAAATTTAACTTATACTGACTCATGAATACGGGCTATTACATGTGGTGCCTTTGCAAAAAAATAACTAAAATCTAGACCAATTCCTAGCAATCTCTACCTTGGTCCTGATTTTACAATCTTGGGAATACATCTGTTGTTCACAAAAATAGCCCAAAGTCAATTAGTTCTCCTGCACCTATTTTCTCTCCTACATCTGCTTGCAAGAATCCTTGGTTTCTGTTATTTGATGGACTCTATTGTGAGTTCTATACCACGGCCCCGTCGTTCATTCGAATGACCCAGTCTGCTTCCCGCGTGCCTGTCCCTGTGCCCGTCTCCGATAGAACGGTCGTTTGAATCCAGCGAGGAAAAAACCTCGAGGCTAGTCGTCCCTCCGAATCTACTGCCTCTCATCTGGCTCACTTTCCTCCAAATCCGACAAGAACAAAGCCCGCATGTGGTCTTATCTTCCTTGCTTCATGACCACACGCCTAGGCTTCGCCCGCGCCCCGAGCCCTGCTAGTCCTCCTGTGCCTGAGCCCCGCACCCCACACATGGCTTAGACCGTGTCACCCCACACATTGCACTCATGATCCACCTCTGCAAGTGACAACCCGTCTGCAAATTAAGTCGCACCAATCCGAATGCATATGTTTCTTGTGTGAGCCTGCACACACGGAACCTAGGCACTCTTGTGCTTTCATACAGATCCTCTGCTCGATCCTCTGCTCGATCCAACCCGAGCACACAAGTGGAAATGTGCCCTGCTCCCGCCTATGTGTGATCTTCTTCGATTTCCTGATCGTGGAATCAAAACAACTCTGCGTGCTCCTCTCTCGCGCAAACCTTCTCCCCCTTCTTCTCTTTCTGTATTACAACCTTCCTCCATCGAGATCTCCTCCACCAGGTTCTGATACCAATTTGTTAGGTTTCTTGTAGGAAGATGTGTTCTTCTTGAATGAGAGGGAGAGATGGAGAGAAAGAGGAAGAGTGCCAAATATAAGGAAAAAAAAAAAAGAATTTTATTCTCTTGGCTTGGAGTGACCTTATTACAACCTATTGCAATTATTTATAGACATCAATGATTAAAAAAATGTATGCTTAGGATGACCGCTGGTCCACCAAAAGTCAAGCGAATTTTTGCAATTTGTTATGATTTGATAGTGTCTAATAGTTATTATAACTCTTATTAATAATCTGAATATACCATATCATACATATAAATGCAATAAGTGCCTGCGTAAAGGATGATATATCAAAGCTTCGACAATAAAATAGACAAGAATATGGTGATAATGAATCTTCAATTTTACATGAACTAGCTCCTTTATTTAAAAGGATCCAATCCCCCATAAAATATTTCACAAAATGGTTGCTTGTACTGGTCTATGAGTTTCAAAAATTAAATTTTTTTTGGGATGATTTGTATTATCATCAGCATTTGTTGAGGCCATCAAAGCCAACCAACGCATTGCTCGATTAAATGGAGATTTGTATGACACTAGGCGTACGTGGACTGAGTTTGAGCCAACATCTATTTTTTATTAATATTACATACATTTTATAAATTCTCTTGTATTTAAGTATCTAATATATAAATCTTTATGTTTATCTATATAACATTTTAATATTTAAATAAAATCAAAATACATTGAAATATATTTTTTATTTTAAATAAATTAATATTATTGATATTTTTAATATGATTTATATATAGTAATATTTTATAATTAAATGTAAAGATTTAAATTTTAGACATATAAATGCATGAGAAGTTTATGTTAACAATTTTTATAGTAATTCTACCGTGCATTGGTTGCCAGCAAATGGAGTGCAAAGTATTCAAATGCAGGAGTTTTGAAAATATTGCTGTTTGATTTGAAATAAAATAAATATAGTATAAAATTTTGGTGCGTTGAAATACATCATCTATATCATTTTTTATGCATTTGAAATTCCTTTGATTTGGACAAATTTCAAATACAACATAAATTTATTGCAATTGTTATCGTCCACCGCTGCCACACTCCTGCCACTCACCACTACTGCCGGCTGCCACCAACAACCACTGCTCGCCATCGTTGCCCACCAGCACTACCGCCAACCACATCCATGTCAAGGTCGGCCACCAACCACTATCTTTTTGCACTTTACATTATATTTGTTTTACTTCAAACCAAACAAAAAAAATATAATCATGCATTCCTATTACAATCATCCAAATAACTTCAAAGTATTTCTTTTACATTGCATTCCTTTTTCAGACAACCAAACAACCCCTAAAGAACTTCAAAATTCCACCAATGTGTATTTATGGTTACTTTCATTTTCTTTTTCAGAAATTATATAGAACTTTTCTTTTATCCAAGGAGTATGAACGGCCTCCTCTAACTTCAATATTGCATAAACTTGTGATGTAGTAAAGAGGTTTTGGAGTAGATTGAGACATCACAATATATCTTTCAGATCAAGGTCAGGTTAGGTAAGAGTAAGCCAACCTTAGTTCACCTGCTCAAATTTTGAACTAACATTTAAGAAAAATCTTCCTCTATAATCATTATGCTAGGTCTATAATGCAACAAACTAGCTATTGCAACAAGAAACTTCAGCCCTAAATGCTGCAATTGCCAAAGATTTCATGCATAAAGATTTTTATAAGCAAATATTTATTTGAAAGGTGAGATGTATTTTTTAAAATTTTGATAAATGTTAAATGTTTTGTTTGTGAAATGATACTAATTAACACAGAGACATGCACATGTTGAAATAGATTCATTAATCAGCAAGCATCCTAATTCACCTAGTACAATTTGCATGTTCTTAGTTGATTAAAATAGATACTTAATTAAGAACTTCATTCATAAATTATGATAATAACTTGCATAACTTTATCCTCAATAACAATAAGACCAATAAAAATTACATTTCAACTGTTTAAGACGATGACGAAGGGTAAATATTTATTGTAATTGTAAGAGTGTAAATGGGCCGAATTCGAGTGAGCTCAAGTATTACTTGGCTAGGCTTGTAATGTAGATGAGATAAAATTTACTTTTTTATTGTTCTATTCGCTAACTTATTAAGCTAAATAAAAACTGTTAATTAACATAAAATCTATTTAAAAACTACATATATATTGAATTGAATATGGTTAAATGAACAAAGAGATTTTATGTAAACCCGAAGTATTTGTTTAGTACGGTGTTCTTAATTATTCTTAGGGGCTGTTTGGTAGCAGGATTTAGGCCGGATTTGAGGCGGATTTGAGTGAAATCCAGCCAAACGGCCTAAAATGCAAAACCAAATCTCACGGCAAGTGAAATCCGGGATAGACGGAAAATTCCGCAGATTCGAGCGAAATCCGGGATTTCGGAAATCCTGTATTTTGCGGGATTTACGAAATCCAGACGCTAGAGTAGGAGTCCCTTGGATAAATCCTGCTTTATAGCCAAACAGTCACACATGATTTAATTGGATTTATCATAAATGTTACCAAACAGTTTTCAGGATTTATCCCCACAGGATTTCGTAAATCCAGGATTTGGAGGATTTATGAAATCCTACTTAAATGAAATCCTACATTCTACCAAACAGCCCCTTAAATTAATATTTTAGAATAAAAATTAAATTTTTACACTTAAAAACTGCTTTAAAAAACCGTAAGAAATCCATAAGAAATGTGGACATTGAAACTGCAAATCAAATTCAAATATATTAATGCATTGTGCAGAAACTGAAGATACAATGGAGGGAAAAAAATTTTGCTCAGAACATTTTCACCAAATTACAGATTGGTCCACCCATAATAGGCACAATAATATATAAGAAATTGCGAGAATGATGCGAAGTTCATATATTATTGTTTTTTGTTAAGAAAAGCTCATTAATTATATTCTAATATGAATGTCCTAAGCCTTTTATTTATTATGAATTCATCCGAGCAATTATTTGTCCGTTGCAGATCACTCTAAATTTTCCCGGAGAAAATGACAGTGGGCCTGTGCCGGAGAATTTCCTCATCCTTACAAACCTTCTCGGCGACCTCCGCCGGCAGCACCACCTCCACCGTCCGCGCTTCCTTTTCCTCCGCCGCGGCTGAGGCCGGAAGCACCGTAATAATCCCATTCCCCTCCGCCCCGCCGATCCAGCACGACACGTGTGCGGGGCTTACCCCCTCCTCCATCTCCGCCGCGTAGGCCATCACATGATCCAGTTTCAAGCAAGTCAGCTCCGGCCCGTACATCTGGAAAGCACCGGCGCCGCTGATCCTCCGGGCAGCCAGCCATTCAATCGCCGACCAGTACTCTTCCTCTTCCAGACCCGCCACGTGCCGGCCAATCGAGTTGGCCGCCGAGGCCCATCCGGCAGCCGGGTCGAGTTCGACGGAGGAGAAATGGGCGGCGTTGCCGTAGAAGCCGTGCGGAAGTGGCGCGTACATTCGCTTACGGAAGTCGGTGACGAGGGTGAGGGAGGAGAGAGATGTTGAGTTTGCGCGGGAGATAGAGAGCCAGAAAAGTGCGGCGAGAGCATCGAAGGGCGTGGAATCGGGTGGGAGGTCGGCGAGGAGGGATCGGACTGCGGCGGTGGGGAAACGGAAAGTGGCGGCGGAGAAGATGCTGCCAGCGGCGGAGGTGGTGGTGGCAGTGGAGGATTTGATGGAGAGGAGAGGGGCGGAGGGGTTGGCGTTGGGGCGGGGGATGAGAGCGGGCGGGTGGAAGAAAGGAGGGTTGGCTATGGCGGCGCGGCGGTGGCAGTCCCCCCAGGCTTTGATGAGGAGAGTGGCGCAGGTGGGATCAGAGTGCATGTGGGTGCAGCTGAGGCCGATGGCGAATCCCTTGTCCTTGAACTCTGTTATCTGTTAATAAATAGTAAAAAAACGAATGCTTTAGTAAAGCTTTTTTTCAATCACAAAGTATCTGAACCTCCTCAAACGTTGGGAGTTTACATAAAAGACTATATTTTTTGACTATTTGCTGCTCTGTTTACCTCGTTTGGAGGAAGAGAAATAAGAGGAGATCTGGTGCCAATATTAATAGCATTTCTACTGTTTGCTCCACCATTAAGAAATCTATCATCCTTAAAATATATTCATGGAAAGGTTTGATGAACTTAAGCATGCTATCTCCTAACGCTGCTGCTATTCTGGGGTTTTGGTGCGTGGCTGGAGCTTGGGTTGGCCTCTTTCTTGCCAAGAATTATTTTGTTTTAGGGCTATGGGTTGCAACTTTTTGCAAGGAGGATGATGAATGTTGGCTTTGTTTCAGATTTGTTCCCTTGGATGGATTAATTATTCTGTGCGGACGTCGAATGTCATTGGAAGACCAATCAGAATGTGCCACATCATCCCTTCACTTGGTACCGCGGCTCGATACTGCTCGGTATCGCTGGCCTAGCATATTCTGAATTGTCTCCGGACGGAGTTCTACATTCGATCTCAACATAGAATAATTTCTCGGATTGATGGTCCATGCGGCAACCAATTGACTTCTTGGGAAATTTTCTCTGACCTGATGATTGTTATTCTGGAAGCTCTTCTTTTTTGCGCATTCATTCTGAGTCTTTTTTAGGACTTGGGTCTTACATGTCTCCTAAGTCTATTCTTTTTGTTAGTTTCATTTCCTTTTGATCCTTTTGTTTGAGGCTTTTGACAGCTCGGTCTTAATTTCTTCAATTCATATGAAAGAAGAGTGATAATTATGTTTTAATTTTTGGGATATAATTATTTTCTTGTAGTGAATGAATTTGTGCTTTGCCCTTACTTTTTTCAAATAAATAAAAAAATAAAAAAATATCAACATATTTTCAACTTATTTAAAAATTATCAAAACTAATAGGCATAAGCTTACACTTTTTATAGAATTACTAATTTAAAGTTTGAGTAGAAAGACTGTTGTTTTTTATAAAGTTGGTTATGAAGATTCTGTAGAAAAAATAATTTAGTTATTCTAGCAACTTTTTATTACAAAAAATTCTAAAAAGCATCAACAAAAAGGTGATTGCCATCTAAAATTGCAAATGTTATATGAAAAATAAATCAACGAAAAAAATGCACCATTTTTTCACATTTTAGATATTTTAAACTCTAAAATAATGAATAATTTTTTAGGCCCAACGAACGCTAGAGTTCTAGGTCATTTAATCCACACCCTCCATTCAAAAGAAAAACATTATTAACTATCTCTTATCATCCACTCTAAATCATCTAGTCCACACCACCTCTCTTTAAAAGAACTATCTCAAGTTTTTTTAGGTCCACGATGACTCTTAATTGTTCATCCCCCCATCTTTTGAAAAATGATCTTTCTTGACTACCTCAAGTTTTATGATGCATGACAAGCTGTTTATCCACCATATTTATAGTTTTCCAATGCTATAAATGATATAGGTGCATGCACGTGAATAAAAGTATAGGTGAAACTGGTCATAAGAGTTAGTAATCATCCAAAAATAAGTTCTCAATAATAGGACAATTAACCACAATAAAAACATGGTAAGTAACCCAACTTTGGAATAGATAGATTGACTGATATGAAGTTTCATCGCTCATGTTCTATGTCCTTTGACTGTAAAGTTTTCCTTGAGAAAGTAGTCAAAGTTGATTAGTAAACTCATGATTGATTGTTCTCAAGCATTCTTAAATTAAGGAAAGGTATATTGCAAAGAAAAGGGCGTGTTGAACTGATGCATTCAATGAAAGTGAATTTCAACAAGAAAAGTAAACAACCAACCATTATGTATAATTATATTGAAAAAAAGAAAACAATCATACAATATATGAAAAAAATAGCTCCAACTACACCAAAGAGAAAGGTTCAACTATTATATAGAATAGAACTAAGAAGTATTCGAGCTTGCAATAAAGTAGTGACTAACAGCCATGGTCACATGTTATTGGTATTAATTGAATCAGAGGTTGTCAGAGACAATGCAAAATCCATCCATAAATAAACCATCATCATAGTTACTTTTATAATCAAAGCATCACGATAGTTTTCAAAGGTGCTAGTCATAGGGGGGCCTAAAAAATCTACGCAAGTAGGAATATCGACCATTACATGATAAGCAACTTAAGAGAAAACCCAAATTTGTGTTGTGAACATTCACTTGTTCACCGGGAGTCCCACACAACATAATGTTGGAAGTCGGATGGTTGCACCACCTGCCTAACCTTTCACTCATAGGGGTTGTAGAGTAGAAAGCAGTTAAAAAAAACTTTGCATAAGTGAAGGGGCATATACATTTTGTGTGACTCCTATATATTTGAACCAACCTAAACCTCAAGCCAATCCCCTAGCAGTCCTACCACCTCACAAAATGGAGTTTGTGTTTGGACTTCATACATCATAACGATGAAAGGCCAATAAGATTTGACGAATGCATCCGTATAAGAGCCAACATTGCTAGTAACTCAACCAAAATATGGACACCAAAAAGGCCCCAACGTCCATAATTCTACATACATGAGTTTCTTATTGTACTTCAAAAATCATCCGCAACCCCGTAAGAATACCTCCCAAGTACTAAAATGGTATTCTCCTATATTATTTGTGTAACTTTCTCAACATAGTGTATTACACCAAAAATTATTCTTGACCTATCAGATTTGATATATCATAAAAAAATTATCCTTATTGAGAACAAATCTTGAGGCAAATTATAATTGGAAACTTCCAAAATTAATTTAAGGCTCCTCTTCAACCACCGTCTGGTGGCCAACCGACACCGGACTTCTACTTAACCACCGACTAAAGCTGGACTTCCACCTAGTTGTCGACCGTCACTGGACTTTCACCTGACCACCAGCAGTAGCCGGACTTCAGCCCAGCCACCAGTCGTAGTTGGACTTCTTTCCGACCACTGAACAACTCTGGATTTTGCCCGACCACCACCTGTCACTAGACTTCTGTCCAACTACCAACTGTAGTCGGACTTCTGTCTAACTCCTTAAACTACTGTAATCTTTTTCTTTTTTCTTAAACTATAGTAATCTCATCATCTCCAAATTAAAGGATAAATCAAGTTTTATAACTCACTCAAATTTAATGGAATCACTTTGACTATGTGTGGCTCCATAATTTTTCCATTTTTCAAGATTTTTCATATAAAAATCATGGTATTTAATTTTATCTTATATATTTGTGTGCTTAATATTTGTGCAACATTAATATGAAAAATTTTGTCACTCTACTGTCAGGTATACTATAGCCCCCCCCCCCCAAAAAAAAATATAAAGTTGCTAGTTCCTTCTTTCCATCAAGCACGTTTCTCGAAATCAAGTTTCACTCCCCTCAATCAATCACTTCTAGCCTCTTTTGAATAAAATTGATGCAAACCCTTCTTTTTCCAAGAACGAGAGATTATCCCGATCATCCTTCATGACTTTGAATTTCCATCAACACAACATTTAGGAGAAAATCACCCAAGTTATTTTAATAACCTCCACAACTTTTTTGTGTCATTTTATCATTAAATGCAACATCATCAAATTCTAAGAGCATCATAATTTCTATATCTCGTGCCAATTGTTAATAAAAATTATTTTAATCAGAAAAAAAATCTAATAATTTTTTTTAATGCCCTTACTTGTTTTATATTATTATTTTAATTTTATATCATAAAATTTGATTTATGCACATCCATATCATACCTCTCACATAAAACTGAAGTCATTTCTTTTTTTTAAAAATATGTCTCAATGTAACCTCAATTATCTGAACTTATTATGTGCGGACACTAGATCATTCGAAGGTGAATCAGAATGCACTATGTCACTTGATACACAGCGGATACACAACACAATAAATAGGCTAATTTAACTCTAAATGACGTTCATATCCGCTCAAAATAATTTCAACAATTAGCCTCACCATAAAGTTGTCGTTCATACTATCTGTCATTAGGGGTGTCAACATTTGACATGACACGAAAATTTGACCCGAACCTGACCCGAAAATTTCGGGTTGGACCCGACACGATCTGATTCGAGTTCCCGGATTCGACATGCTAGAAAAACTGGTCAGGTTCGGAGGTTGACGGGTCAACCCGGAAACCCATTTAGAGTGAGCTGCCTGCGTTGCCTGAGGCTGCCCACACCTGCCCCGGCTACTCGCGCAGTTGCCCGCATGCGCCGCGCAGCTGGTGCTCGCGAGGAGCCTGCGGATGCCCGCGCTGCCTGCTCGCGCCCGAGCTGCTCGCCCTAGTCTATGCGCCCGCATGCTTCTGTCGGCCCGCGTTCCGCCAGCTTGCATTCCCTTGTTGGGTCGTGTCAACCCGGCAACCCGACGGGTCGGGTTCGAGTCTGAGTTTCCTACCCGTTTATCTACTCTTGTCGGGTTAGAGTCGACTCGATTGAACCGGGTCAGTTACAGGTTCGACCCGAACCCGACACTTGACCCGAAATTGACAAGCATATGTGTCATTAGATCACAGAGGGACAGTAAGTAAGTCGCACTGAAAAACGAGTTGAAGTAAAATAAGTACCTGAACATAAAAAGTAGACCAGATAGACGAGTCATTCCCCATAGGCTCCCAGTGGACCAGCTCCCTCTCCTCCGCCGCCGTCGCCGTCGCGATCCACTCATCCAATGTCGCCTCCGTCCTCGCATCCACCACCCTTACTCCAGCGTCGTTACACTTCACCACCCACCTCTTCCCTCCTTCGTCCCAGTTCATCCTCCCGGTCGTCGCCGGAAAATACCACAGCAGTTCTGACATGGACTCCTTCAACCTCGCCCGTTCCAGCTTCGACCCGCTCCGGTAGTAAAACACCATGTGCAGCGAATGCCGCTCCATCGCGTGGTCCAGCTCCGACAACGGGTACGTCTTCCCCGGCCGGACCGGCTTCGTCGACACCACCGACGATTTCGCGTACGCCGTCACACGCTTCCCGCCTGCCGTCATCTCTCGCCGTTGAAATCTTGGACTGGAAGAGATAGAGAGAAGATGGATGGGTCGACGGTAAAGAAAGTGGGGGTATATATGCTATTATGGTGGAGAGAAGCTGCGTACATGGTTAGTTGGTGGGTAATAATAGTGCAATAACTGTGGCCGCTCGGAGGTGGAAAAGGCAACAGTTGCTCTTGAAATTATTAAAAAAAAAAAAAGGCTAAGCTACAAAATTTGGTGAGAATTAATTTTTGTGGAGATAGATGGAAATTTTATTGATTAAATGTATATTTTATTTATTTAAAATAAATTTCATAAATTTTTGAACTTACCTAGATGAACTATTTTTAACTTTTCTCACTTATTAAGGCTTCGTTAGGGAGTCTTTTTTTACTATCTCTTAAAATAATTTTTAATACAAAAATTTTAATTTTTAATTAAAAAATATTTTAAAAAGCCACAGTTATTTGCTCGTTAGATGACTTCCACCAGTCTGATAATCCATCAACTTGACAGTCATATTTCTTTATGAAAAATTAGGCTTTGTGATTTATACCAATTAAATTTGTTGGACCCACCAATGAATCAGCTCTTATTGAACCTTTACAGTTCACTGAAAGAGTACAATATTGACAGCTATGTGAACAAGCAAAATAAGGGCCATGCAGCCCAAGCTTATCCAGCAGTGTTTGATGTTTTCACTGTAAAAACTATGATCGAATATGTGACTGATCAACCAGTTGTTTGCTGTAATAAGCTGTTTGTCTGTGCCTTATTTTCAGCTTTGTATGCTTTATTAAGGTTTCGTTGGGATGGCTTTCTTACTGCTTCGTTAAGTCTATTAAAAAGTTGTTTTAAGAAGCAACAAGAAAGCCGTCCTATAAATGAGTGTAAAAACTGTGGAGTTGGTATGCACAGCAAGCATTGTAATGGTTTATGACTTTATGGAGAGAGTTTGGTGCCCTCTTGAATTCCCTCTCTAAGGGTATTAAAAGCTCTCATGAACTTGCAAGCTGGATACCTCTTTCTTGTCTGTTTCAGACCTCATAGAGTTATGAGAGGTTGTGTACTATTTTTATTATTTTTTTCATTCTAGATATAGTCTTTTCTGTAACCCCTGAAAACTATAAATAAGAGGTGAATGAGCATATCTTAAATATCTTGCTGAGGACATGGCTCAAACATGTTGTGGGCTTGACTTGTAGAGACATTTGAGATTTCTACTTCTCTATATATACGCACTTGCTGTTCTCACTCAATTTTTGCTTTAACCTATCAATAACTTGTTAGTAAGATTGTGTCATTATGGATAAATTTGAATCGAACAACTTAATTTTGAATATATGAAAAGAACACTAATATTATATTATAGTGTTATTATGATATGAATATTTAAATATTTGGATTCCCAACCACCTCTCAGTCATATTTTTTTTTTTTTTTTTTTTTTTTTTTTTTTTTTTGTGATTTCTTCTTCTCTCTTCTTCCTAAAACTTATTTTTCATTTCACTCTCCTCTATCTCTATATTTTCTTTCATTATATACAGCTTTCTTATTGCTTTCTAAAGCAGCTTTTTTGTACAATTTTAGGTAGTTTTGTTTGGGATTGCTTTCTTACTGCTTCTTAAAGAAGCTTTTTAGTACAAAAAAAATTATTTTTTATACTAAAAAGTTGCTTTAATAGTAGTAAGAAAACAGTCTCAAACGAACCACCCTTAGCCTTCATTTGGGATGATTTTCTTACTATGTACTTTGTAATTAATGCAAAAAAAAAAAAAAAAATTGTCTAAAACTATCTCAAATAAAATATAAGTAGTGTATTGATAGTCATTTTGAGATTTTGGTTGTGGCCATGAAATAAAAATCATCTTGATGACAAAAAAACAATCGTCTTTACAGATGTCATGGTAAATGGAATCTAAATTAATTCCATAGCAAGTTTCGTGGGGAGAGATTGAGATAATCCGGACAACTACAAACAATTAATTTTAATCGTTTGTTTTAAATGAAGGGGAACAAAAAGAAGAAGAATAACAAATCTCTAATTGTTTAAATCATTTAATTAAGGCTTCGTTTGGGACGGCTGTTTCCCTGCTGTACTGTATGAAACGTAACCGAGAGGTGGTTTGGGAGTACACGTTCGTGCTCCATTCTCGAAATCTTTGCTTCCTGTGGTTGCTTCTCACGTCCGGCGGAAGACTCCCGCGTTACAGAATTTATTACATACATGAATATGTAAAAAAATAAGAGAAAAATATGAGAGTCATATAGCAGAATGCTTGACTTGATGAAGTTACTCACCGAGCTCATTGGAAGTCGCTTGAATGCATAAATGGACAAAAAACATTCAATAGTCTTCTATGTGAAGGAAGTTGTTCGCTTATGTTGTTGCATTAGGGCCGACTTGATAGCATGTATTTGACTACTTGGGACGAGTTCATAGATCATCGTCAATCGTCATCTGCTTGAGATGAGTTCAGTTATAAACTTGACGAGTTCCTCTTGGGCTGATGCCAAAAGAGATTGATTTCAATTGTATTGAGCTGGAGTGACTTTATTTGAACTTAGTTTTTCAAATATTTAAGTATGCATAAATTATTAGATATTCATAAATATATCATATCTGATTAGAAAAAGTATTAAGAATGATAAAAAATTTAATTATATTTATATCATAATTTAATTATAATTATTTTATAATTAGAATTTTATTATTTATTAATTTAATCATTTAATTACATAAAGAAAAATAATCTCATTTTTTTTCTTGACCATATATCTTTACTCTTTCTAAAAATATGTAAAACCACGTAACAAGTATATAGCCAAGCAAGTAACTAAAATCTTACAGCTGGAATTAATGCAAGATAAAAGATAATAATATATTATACATCATATATAAAATATATGCGTCAATGTCTATACTGATTATCTATATCTAATTATTTTTCTATAATTCATCACATCTTAGTCCATTCAATTATTAGTTATAATATCAATAACAACCAACAATATTAATGTCACTAATAATTTTAGTATCTTGATCAATAACATTAAATAGTATTAATAATAGTAAATAATATTAATAGCAGTCACAATATCAGCAGTGTTAAAAGCAATATCGATATCAATATTTAGATATTCACATCAATATCAGTATTCAGATATTCAATGAGTGTATCTTGCTCATAATTTTTTATTTTTAAGTAATTATATAAATTTTATATTTCATAATTTTTTATTTTCTTTAATTTTTGTCTCATATTTAAAATGATAATAACATAATTGTTATGTTTATTTTATTATTTTTTAATAATATAAATTATTTATTATATCATCTATTTAACCTAACTCATAGAACCATGAACTCCTACTAGACGTGGATCTTCAGCATTTTATTAATTATCATTACTATCCTCATCCTGATTCCTCTTTCAGACGAATTAGCTGTTCCAAAAATTTTCCTTCCGACGGAGATGAATTTTTAGTTCTAAAACGATCGCTACAGTCCGTTGATAAAGCGGCTTGACGTCACAGAGCCGATAGCTGAGGCAGCCAAGAGCGAGGAAAAGGGAAAGCTATGTCTTCTATTGGGCCGGCGAAGGGGATCCTCGAGATCGCCAAGTTTGCGGTTTACGTCACCGTCCCCGCTGCTCTCACCTACGCCTTCGTTACGGATTCGGGGACTCTTCATAAGCTCATGGGATTCGTACTCCTCTCTCTCTTTCTCTCTCTGATCCTCTTTCCTTTTTTTTTTTTATCGGGTTCTTCTTTCTTTGGTGATGCGTGACAATTAGTAAGTAGATGGTTAGATGGGATTGGTCTCATAATTTCTCTGTCGTATTGCTCTCCACAAGAAGATAATGGATTAGGGCACGATTGTGCCGTCCGCATTGGGCCAAATTTTTGAACTAAGTATCGTTTAGAAGTAAATTAGTTACCAAACCAACGAAATTTGAAATTTTGGAACTAGCCAAAGTTGCCATTCAACGGGCGACTTGCTAGTGTGTACCAGTCACCCGTTTCACAGTCGATTTTTAAAATTTTCTTAAAAAATTGAATTCTGAGTTATGATAAGACGAGTAAGAAGTTAGATTTCATAAACTTTGTTGTTGGGAGCATATAATGTAGGAGAATGAATAATAATATCTAACAGAAGTTACGTTAAATACTTCTTTTTATAAATTTTATGCAGAATTTATGGTAGCAAACATATTTTTGGGAGAAAGTTATTGTTGACTTTTACATACATGTCAAATCCAATGCAAGTGGCTTCCATGTCACCTAAATCTTTATTAAATCCCTCAAAAGGTAGCAGCGGCAACATCACCCAAAACCTGCTAGTATTCTGCTCATCTGCCTTCCAAAATTTACCCCGGAACTTAGTTCGTTAAAACTCCCTTGCCGAATAAGAAAAGCGAGCGGAGGCCGGGGTCGAATTTTCGGAGCCCACAGTTATGTAGGTGAATCAATCATCTTTTATTTTAAGAAATTTAAAAGTAACTTGATTTATATTATAAAGTTATTGTTTTATTAGTTTTATATATATAAATAATTTTATTGGTGTATCTTGCTGGCAATATCAGATTGAAATTTGAAAGCATCGATGTGATTTTAATTTGAAAGCATCAATGTTATTTTAATGAAAATTGGATTCCTTGCTGGCAATGTTAGATTGTCACGTCAATTGTGCAGATGTGACATGAGTTATTTTGATGTATCAAATTGAATGCTTGCTTTTGAATCTGTAGCCCATGAAAATTATGCTATATAAGAGTGTTGTACTCCATTGGAGGTGAAGCTTGAGTGAAGCTTATGCATATAGGTTAGTTTTGTTTGAGAGGTTTGATAGTTGGATGTCTAGTTTGGTTAATGTGTAGAATCCATTGGCCAGATATCAAGAAGTATCAGTGTATTTCCCACCAAACAGTTGTTGGATGTTACCAGCCGACGACTGCACGATTGTATGGCGAGGTGTATGACAATCCCCTAGAACAAAAGATGAGTGCAAATGATATATTTAGATGTTGCATGCATGTGTGAATCGAAGACAGGGATCACATACTATGGTATCTACATGTTGAAGCGATGAAGATGGAGTGCAACATGGATGAAAATTTCTTAACATCCACCTGCAGCATGGCTTTCTTAAAATTTTCCCGCAAATGTCGCAAACAGTGTCGATGTGCAACATCATGAAATATTTCCTGGCAACCACGAACTAAACCGGCACGTCAGTCACATATCATGCATAAATTGGATCTTGTTTTAACAACATAAAGGAGTTCATGCATCTCAAAAATCAATTCCAAGAGTTTGTGCACTCTGACTCAACAATAGCAAATGCTAGAGGATAAAGACCATTATTTGCATCCATGCTATAGCAGTCAATAAAATGCCCCAATATTTACCTTAAAGGAAGGTCCCATTGAGGCTAATAACATGTCGGCAATATCTCCACCCACTTATAGAAGGGCCGAAATACAAAAACATTATGTCAAATCTATGATTCTCTGTGACTGTATCCTATATATTGTTTAATTTGGGCATTGCAGATACGACAGCCTCCATGAACAAATTTTCACTCCAATAAGACTCCTCCCAACTACCAAACACAGCCTTAATAGCCTTTCGTCTAACATCCAAGCTTTCATGTAGGAAACCTTTATATTGAACTTTGCTTCAATTCAACCAATAATCTCCCTAGACTTAAGGTCCATTTGCTTTCTAATACTAAGAAGTATAAAATAGCTTATAAATTGAGTATCACACTGACGATGTACTGCAACTAGAACAAGACTTGCGCACGTATGCTGCTACTTCATGGAAGAAATTCTCCATATTCCTCCTAGAAGTTTGCTCAAGCCAGGATGCAAAAGCCAAAAGCAATGGGGCCCAAAGCTTTAATGCTGAGCACACACAAATGTAAATTTTTGTCGGTTTGATGCACAACAACGAAGTGAACATTATTTATTATCGACTATCCTTGTAAGGAAAATAACATGTCCGATTTACATTTGAAACACATCCCTGCGTCAAGTTTTTTGGTATTGAAAATTCCTCTTCTACTTGCTGCCCTACATTCGAATCATCAAACGTGATTTCCTTGTCCCACTGGCTGGTAGTATCACATGTCTCAACAAATTCTTTATTAACAAACATGCCTTCTTTAGTGCCTAATGTTATGAGACAATAGTTTTGTACAAGGTTTTGAAAACCGGATCGGACCGGCCGGTTCGACCGTGAACCGGTCTGGTGGCCGGTCCGATCCAGCTTCAAAACCGGCTCTGCATAGAACCGGATCAAACCGGATTGAACCGGCGGTTCAACCAGTGAACCGTTGAACCGGTCTGGGTTGGAAAGAATCGGCCAGTTCATAAAATTATTTTATTTTTGTTTTAATTAAAATTTTTTAAACTTTTAAAATATTTTTATTAAATATGATGATTAATTTCATCATAATACATGCAAGTTATCTTAGATACCTCACATAATTTATTTTGCAAAGAGAGTGTACTTCACACTTTATAAAGTTTTTAAGGAAACATCTTTAAACTCCCCCTATGATGTGGGACTAAAGAAGTTGCATGAATAATTTAGATGTGACTTGGGGCTTATTTGGGCTAGTTGGGCTTCAAATTTTTTTTTAGTTGGGCTTCAATTTTTTTTTAGTTGGGCTATAAATTTGAATGATATGTATTATAAATTTACTATAATATATATTATAATAATTATATTATAAAATATTAATATTATAAATTTATATATTATATTAAATATTATTCTTATAAATATATAAATATATAATTTTTAAATGATATTTATATTTATATATATCAGCATGCACTGTCACATTTTCTTCATATATATATCACATGCTACTTCATCATCAGGATCACATCTCTGCTCACTAGAATCGCTGCTCATAGTTTCATAATCTTCGTCAACGATCCGGCATGATCCTACCACTACTGATTTTGCATGTCACTATATTAAGAGAGGTAATACCTTTTAAAAAATTCAAGCAATACATCTACTAACTTCAAATATGGAATATTGAAGTTCAAAGTCTACTTACGACACACATTGCTCTTGTACTGGTTGAACAATAGCCACAGCAACGAAAATTTCCTCCTAGCAGTATGATTCATTAACTTGAGATGTCTGATTCTGAGCATGATGCGTTGCCACATTCAACTCTTGAACATTCACATACATCCTAAGTATTTCTCTAGCAGCATGAGATAATATAATTTCGCATAACTCCTCATCTTCAACATGCGAAGCAATAAACTCATTCCCCACCCGCATACGACAAACTAACATGACTGTATACTTCAACATGTCATACTTCAATGCCTTCAAAATCCTTAACTTAAGTTGCTCTAAGTTCACTTTAATTGGCATTTGCAATGGACGAATCCAACCCTTGTTATATGTCGGTGCAAAATTAGCATCCAACGATAATTCATCTTCATACATCAGCACATATGAAGCTCCACGCCCACTCATAATTGAAGTACTTTGTTTCACTGGCAAATTGTAACTACAACCACTAAAAAATAAAGTCATGCTAAACTAATTAAGGAACCACACCATAAATTGATGTTGCATACATTAACTATCACAAAAACTTCGCAATCTAAATCAAAACTCTTTAACACTAGATAGTTCACTTTTCACATGATTGCACACACAAAATATCTATAATTTTCATTAAAAAATCTTAAAAAATGAATAATCTACAAAAAATAACAAAATGAACTTACATAAAGAGCCAACTTTCTTATCAAAGTAACAAATTAACTACTGATTTTTAATATCTAATTAACAACCCCAAATAGTCGCACCTCTTTCATCTATCAAACATCACAAACATAGCCAAAAAAAGTTTATTTGGATTTCTTCAAAATAGTTTCCATCACAAATACAATCCATCTATAAATACTCAAACTCTTCAAAATTATAGATCCATTACTAACAAGCACAACTTCCCTTCCAAACAACATTAAACATAAAATCTCCACAAAATTGGTTTAAAACAACTACAAACTACTCCACAAACTTCCTAAAATAATTTGTCTAAAAAAAATTTAACTTAAAAAAAAAAAAAACTTACCTCACTCTGACTGTTTGGCGTGGAAGCTCAACCGACAGAACTGTTAAAATCGAACGAATGAAGGAAGAAGGAGAAACAGACTGAAAAAAGATTGCACTTTTCAGTACTTAAACCAGTCACCCGTTTAATGGGCAACTGGCTCTCTGTCACCCATGTCGGGTTTAATCATAGCCAGTTGCTCGTTAAACGGACGACTTTGACTAGATTTAAATTTTGACTTTTCGTTGGTTAACTTACTAATAAAAAATTAAACAATACTTAATTTAAAACTTTGGCCTCTGCATTGTTGATGTCGGAGTTTATTCGTTGGAAAATCATGGAGGTATTCGATTTTCCCACTCTTTTGTAAAATTTTCCTAGGTTTTTATTATAGAATAATTTTTTTTCTTAGGCTTCACTTTTTAATTTCTTGTGTGTAGCTCTTCATATGCTCCCTTTAGTCGTGCATAAGGCTGATAATCCCCAAACTAAGTTCCTTCAGTTTTCATGCTGTAGGAAAACAATTCGTTGGTAAAGGGGGTAACTTTTAAGCTGGAATGGTTATGCTTTATAGTTAACCTTTGCTTAGTCATCAGTAAGGCAACATTTGC